AAAAAAAAAAAAAAAAAAATGTCCTCATCACCATAGGCTGCACGAGAGCATTGCTGAAAGTCTTCCTGTCTATGAAGTTTGTCTTGGCCCAGTGCCAGGGGCTGAAGATCAGTAAGGACCCTCCAGTGACCTTGAATGACCCATCTTATCCCAGACTAGACAGACACTTGGCCAAATTTAACCCTAGGGAGTCAGTAAGTCAGAAGTTGGCCTTTCACAGGCAATGTCACAGAGTGCGTTTGCGTGTGTGTGCATGCGTGTGTGTGTGTGTGTGTGTGTACGCGCATGCCTGTGTTTGTGAACTCATCTGTCACCTTTACGCCAGGATTTTAGGGCTCCGTGGGTTCTCGCTAAGAGCTGTTGATGAACATCATGGTTCTTGCTTCTCCAGGGCTTCGGTGACAAGAAGGACGTTTGGGCACAGTGGCATTGCGGTGCACACGTGGTACGCGTGTCCAGCATTGATCAAGTCCATCTGGGCTATGGCCATTAGCCAACACCAGTTCTATCTGGACAGAAAGCAGAGTAAGGTGAGTGACCAGATCTCTCAGCCAGCTGGGAGCTACGGACAGCCTGGGGTCACTGCCTGCCTCCCATCCTTAAGGGATGAGAATTGGATGGGTGGGGTGGTGTCCCGTCCCTTGCCCGGAGCTGCACACAGGTCCAGACTTGCCTTCTAGAGCTACAGGTGGGAGGGATGAGACTAGTCCTTCCAGAGGGCTCATTTCACGCCACTTGGTCCGGGGGCTTCAGCCGCCATCAGAACTATTCAAGCCTTTTCCCGCAGTGAGCTAGGACCCTTTTGAGGAATGCCACCGTCTTCCGACCATAAGGAGACTCTCCTTAGCTGCATGCAGTGAAGACCTTTTTGGTGTTTAAACAGTGGCATATTGTTTCCTTTTGGAGAAAAAAAAAAAAAAAAAAAACCCTGCTCAACTAATAGACACCACCTAACTGTTTAGGGTAATTGCTGGGAAAAACCTCCAGGCTATTCCAACTGCCAACTTCATTTTTTTAAAAAATGCAAAACTGGAAAAGTGAAGAAGAAGAAAAAAAAAAAGCAACCATGCTGTTTCCTTAAGGTAGACCTAGGGCCCCAGGCCTTGGTAAACAGTCACTGATTGAGAGGGAGAGTTCACCCACCCCACCCCCCATCCAGGCACCCAGCTGCATTTCCTGGTGGGTGAGAGAATGGCGTCTGCTTGGTTCACACATGGCTTATGTCAACAATCTGCCCCCTCTTCCTCCAGCCTTGTCTCCCCAGACTCCCCTTTGGGCCTCCATGTGCCATGCCCATGTGTTCTCCCTGAGGGAGGAGCCCTGCCCAGTGAGCCCTGCAGCTTTTCTTGGGATCTTACTGGCTTGGGGTGGGGGGGTAAGACCCCCCCTTGGCCTCTGAGCTGGTGGATACCAACACCCACAGAGGGACCCCCCAATATGCAAGTTCCCAGAAATTGATGGCAGGACCCTGACTTCCTGGGCCAAGAGTCACTGAATCAGTGTCCCCTAGAGTTCTTTCTCTTTTGCCTTATCTTTCTTTGGTGGGGGAGAGGGGGTTATTTTTCTCTGGGGTTGGGGGGAAAGAGGTGGGAGACAGTTGAGGTTGAGTGAGCGGAAGTAAGAGGGAAAGTTAGAAAAGAAAGTAAGAAAAAAGGAAGAAATGAAACAAGCCCTGCATTAATTCAGTTTTAAATCAGAGCTTGTCCCATGCGGCGGTCATTTTCTACTTTGTAACGTGTTTTCCCCTCTACTTCCCCACCCTTTTTGGGTCATTTTCTGGCCTGAGTGAGTACACAGCGGAGTATTTTTGTTTTGGACATAATGAGAGTATTCCGAAGCTCTCCTGGTGATGACGGGCCTTGGCATGGGAATTGGAAGCCCGATTAGATCAGGAGAAATGGGGCCAACGTGTCTTGGCTCATAGGCATGAGACAGCGGGTGGGTGTGCGCATTTGGCCTCCGGGGGCAAGAGTTGGAAGTCCACGCCTGAGAACATGGATTTCACCCTCTGTGTTGTCGGGTGACGGGTGGTGAGGGGTCGTGCGTTGGGCAGTTCTCCTGAATCCTGCTGCCAGTTCCTCTCGAGGGCAGACCCCCACACTCTCTACCCCGATGTGGAAACAGCATATCTCACCGCGAGGGTAGCAGGACATTGGCTGTCTAAGCAACTCCTGTCTATGCCGGTGTTTGCAGGGCGAGCCTCTTGGGTATCTGAGAGGCCTGTTCTCAGGGCTCTTGCCTCGAGACAGGGCTCCAAGATGGTCTCGTTCTGCAGTCAGGAAGCCTTATTCAGCGGGCTCACAGGTCATCCCTCTGACACAGCAAGGAAAGCCATGATCACAGATTACCTAGTAACAAGAAATGTCCTTCAGGAAGCAAAAGCCAGAGCCCGCAGCATTCAGAATGTGTCAGCCGTCCTGTCCCTCTTAGCCATCCTGGGGCAGTAAAGAGAAAACACCCACACTGGCAGGAGGAAGATAATTCCCCAGGAAGGCTTCCATCCCACACAGATGCCCCAGGGCCCTTGCACCTCTCGTAGGAACCAGTTCCTCAACCTGCAGTGACAAGTAGGGAACGCCATCCCCTATGTTTAAGTTGGAGGACTCTGTTTTCCAACTCTGGGACCCCAGGAGGGTCCTTCAGTTTTCATGCTTGGCCTTCCCCAGTTAGAGAGTAGGAAAGGAAGTTCCTGACCTCAATTATTGATTGGTCAGGTAACACCATGTTTTGTGAAATAGCTTTAGGAAACATTTGCCACCTTTGGTCAACATCACAGTTAACCTAACACATCGTCCCCTGGCCAACACTTGAATGAAGTTTAAGTTCTCTAAAAGGTCCCCCAAATTAGATCAGAGTTGGTGAAATCGCCTTTAGGAATCACACCGCCTTGCGTTTCTGGAATGCCGTTCTTTATAGAACAGCGATGTGATTCATCTCCGGTGGGCAGCACGGGCTCTGGGAGAGTGACGGCCAACAGGCCTGGGACGAAAAGCTTCAAAATATTTCTGGACAGCCTGCGTTGGCTGGCATCCTGGCCGTTGCTCACACTCTATTGTTTCGGGCCGTGCCAACCATTCCTTTCTCTGAAGTGCCTCAGCAAAGCCCAGGCCTCCCAAGTGATGTTTATCAACCCCAGGGAGACAAGTGCGGTCTAGTGGTTTGAGTCAGCCAGGGAGGTAGCCAAGAAGGCTCATGTTCTTCCCTGGCACAGCGGTGATTTTCTTCTTTCAGGGTCATTGGACAGAGGAGTAAGGAAATCTCTCTCTCTGTCTCTTTCTCTCTCTCTCTTTCTCTATTTCTCTTTCTCTCTGTCTCTCTCTTTTTCTCTTTCTCACTCTGTCTCGATGTGTTTCTCTGTCTCTTTCTCATTCTCTTTCTTGTTCTTTCTCTGTCTATCTTTCTGTCTCTTTCTCTCTCTTCTTCTTCTGTTTCTGTCTCTGTTTCTCTCTCTTTCTGTCTCTCTCTTTCTCTCTGTGTGTCTCTTTTTTCTCTTTCTGTCTCTCTCTACCTGTCTTTCTCTCTCTCTTTTTCTCTCTCTTTCTCTGTCTCTCTCTCTCTCTTTCTTACTCTCTGTATCTTTCTCTGTTTCTCTCTGTCTCTCTCTCTCTCTCTCTTCCTGTCTATCTTTCTGTCTCTTTCTCTCTCTCTGTCTCTCTCCCTTTCCCTTTCTGACTCTCTGTCTCTTTCTCTGTTTCTCTCTGTCTCTCTCTCTACCTATCTTTCTGTCTCTCTCTCTCTCTTTCTCTGTCTCTTCCTCTCTCTCTCTTTCTCTCTCTCTCTTTCTCTGCCTCTTTCTCTCTCTCTGTCTCTTTCTATCTCTTCCTCTGTTTCTGTCTCTTTCTCTTTCTGACTCTGTCTCTCTTTTTCTCTCTGTCTCTTTCTTTGTTTCTCTTTCTGTCTCTCTCTCTCTCTCTGTGTCTCTTCCCCTCTTTCTTTCTCTCTTTCTCTCTCTCTCTCTCTCTCTCTCTCTCTCTGTCTCTGTCTCTCTCGTACTCTCCCTCCATCATTTCTCCCTGCATCAAGGGGACAGTCCACCATAAAAGACAGTGGAGGAAGACAATGCTGGTGGGTTATCTGTCTCCTTCAGAAAGAAAAGCTGTGCTATTATAATTGGTAACTTGCATATGCTGACCCCAAAGATCAGAAATGTTGTCAGCTGGATCCCAGCAACCTCTGCAGCCCAGAGCCAAAGAATGTTTCGGGGACTTTGGTGGAAAATATTTGAAAACTCAAATTGTTTATAGTTTAGACACTTTCCCTCTGAACTCGAAGTGGGGACTTCTTGAGTTGGCTCTAATCCAAATGTCTTCCCTTCTTCCTAAATTTTTTTCCTTCCTGACTCAGTCTGCTGTTTTTCATTCCATCTAGAATTGATCATCGAGTGAGAGCGTCCTGGGGAACAGTGAAACCCTGGTCACTGAGTATCAGTACTAGAACTGAGTCACGTGGAGAGAGCAAACCCCTCAGAGCAAAATGGTCAGGAGTTTGAAGACCCTTTGGGGTCAGCACAGAGACCGGACTTTGCAAGGGGAGACTCCCACGTCAGTGCTCACTTGTTCCTAATTCTCTTTTCTTCTACAGAGTCTGTTCGGTCATTGGAATATTTCCATTCCAGAAAGAATCGGTCTTTTTTTTAAACTTCTCAAAATCAAGTCTCCCTGGCAAAAGAGATCTGTTGTTTCCATATTTTTGTTCTCGGCCTCTTGGATGGATGTGTTCCAGGGGTCGGGGTGTCAGGGAACAGGTTTGCCACGTGATTGATGGGAATCCCCAAAATACCAGGTTGGGCCATCAGTCTCACCTCCTCTAACAAGTTCCTGGAAAGATTGATGTCCTATTCTTATTGCAGTGACCTTGACATTAATCATCTCCTTTAGTCCTTATCACAGCTCATGACAAAGGTATTAAGCTCCTATTGACAAACAGGAGTCTGAGTCTGAGACCAAGGATCAAAGTCCAACAGTGACTAACTGGGGAGAGCCGAGATTCTCACTCAGGTCTTTCAGACTTCAGAACCCGGAGCCTTCGCTTGCTGAAGGGTCCTAGGTCTTCGTGAGTTACTATGATGTAGCTGAGTATGGCCCGTTGATAAAAACATGGATCTCAGGGAAAGAGCGGTACAGGATGAAAGACCGTCACAGGCTGGACTCGCTGTGTGCTCGGAGGGTGAAGCCTGACCGGACAGGCGCCTTCGAGATGCCGTGTCAAGATTAAATAAAAGGCCTTTCCTCCCTTCTGTGGCAAGCCAAGGTCCGGCCAGGGCCTGGCGGCCGGGATTGTTCTAGGAACAAGAAAACCCTCGCCTGAGGAAGTCGACCTAGGTCCTAGTGCAAGGAAACAAGTTGAGGTTAAAGGGGAGGCAGAAATCAGGCCAGCGGGTTAGAGAGAGGAGGAGGAAGAGGAGGAAGACGGTTCACGCCAGGTGAACAAAACAAGCATCTCGTCTCGACGTTTCCTCTGGCCTCCACTTCCATGGTGTTAACAGAAGGGCGGAAGTTGTTGTCATTCCTGGTGTGGACAGCAACACAGAGGGCAGAGGAAGGGCAGAGCCACGGGGGTTCCGACAGCCCTTGCTGGACACGCAGGGCCTCAGGCACAGAGGAAAGGAGAGTAGGAGTGACAGGTCCATGCCCCTCCGCGGCTACCACCCCCCACCCTCAACTGCTTCCCCGTAGGCTCACTCAGGCCAGGCGTGAACAGGGCACTGAGTGACACCAAAGCTCCGCAGTGAACCTCTTTCAGTCCCACCTGTGTGTGTGCTACAGCCAGTGACCACACCAAGGCAGGCGGGCAATCATGGGGGCCAAACCACCCTATAGAGATGCTTGCATGAAGTTCATGGCCCAGGCAGGCCTTAAGCACACTCACATGAAATTGATTTCTCTCAGCTAAATCAGTTTCCTGGAGAAGAAAAGAAAGCAAACGTCAGACACACATGTAGGAAGTGCAAACCGGTGTTTACTCACCAAAGGCAGTCAAGAAGCAGCAGGTAGCTTTACTGAAACCTGTTATTTTTAGGGATGCCATTGTGCATCCAGAACTTTCTTCTCATTACTCTAACCTGCTCGACTACCGGCCAGATCGGGCCAGTTGATATGTGGACTAACAGGGATGGCATATTTGGTCTGTAATATGGGAACACTGGCTCATTCACTGAGACAGCAAAATAGTAGCGGAGCACCATGCCGGGTGCTTTTGGGTAGGACCCCATTATCCAAACAAGCAGTTTTTCCAGAAGCTGTTGTCCATGCCCTGTGGCTGTAGGACTAAGGCTTTGTCCCTGCTCCATCTGCTAGACCGTCCAGGCCACACTGCTAACCATTTAAGAGGCTTAAATCACTTCCGAGTTCATTGGAACTTTGTGAATTTGTTTCAAACATTTCTTCTTTCATTCAGAAGGCTGAGAATTATTTTCTCCTCCTTGTTGAAGCACAAAGTAACTAAAGTCACAATGTGTGTTGAGAGCTGTGTGCCAGGCAGACAAGGAGGGGGAGGAGAGGGCAGGACCTGGGTGGGGTGGGGGGTTCTCACGGCTCCCCTGCCGTGACCCTGACCAACCCCTAGGGAGTAGGTGGCATCCTCCCCATTTTATGGCTGGGAAAAGTGAGGCACAGCAAGATTGTCACTTTACCCCACCCAGGAGGTTCTCCTAAGCAGAATCGTAGCTTCAGAACATCCAGAGGCTGGGCATGGTGGCTCACACCTATAATCCCAGCACTTTGGGAGGCCTAGGTGGGAAGATTGCTTGAGCCCAGGAGTTTGAGACCAACCTGGGCAACATAACAAGACCTCTTCTCTATATAAAAAAAAAAATTTAGCCAGACGTGGTGGTGCATCCCTGTAAGTTCCAGCTACTGGAGAAGCTGAGACAGTAAGGTCACTGGAGCCTAGAAGTTCTAGACTACAGTGAGCCATAATCGTTGTCACTGTGTTCCAGCCTGAGTGACAGAGACTCTGACTCAAAAAAAAAAAAAAAAAAAAACCCACACAAACAAACAAAAAAAACAAATCTATCATTGCTGCAGCCCCTAGCCACCGCTGTTCCTTTGGAGAGTTTTGGTGATTCATGATTAGACCAAGAGAGAAAGATGCTGCACATCAGGAGTTAAGTCTGTTTGTGGAATGTCAGGACGATGATGGGGCAGGAGTGGGATGGCTATTCTGTCTCTCTCCGAGCTGAGCGTCCCCACATTGACCCACTGGTCTTTCCATTCCAGTCTAAGATCCATGCGGCGCGCAGCCTGAGTGAGATTGCCATCGACCTGACCGAGACGGGGACGCTGAAGACCTCGAAGCTGGCCAACATGGGCAGCAAAGGAAAGATCATCAGCGGCAGCAGTGGCAGCCTATTGTCCTCAGGTAGGGGGGCCTGGACTGGGGCACCTGCCGGGGGAGCCCTCCTGAGCCATGGCGGGCATCCCCAAGTGGACCCAGGAAGGTGGGGACAGCCGCCGGAGAGAAGGCTACTTGGCACACGCGCCAGGAGCCAGTTTCCAGACCAGGGTTGGGAGCCAGATGGGAATCTGAGAAAACGGCCCCAAAGAATCAAAGGGTGGAGGGGAAAAAAAAGAACCACACAGTGTGGGCAGGACTGTCTGTCACTTACAAGTACCCCCCAGAGGCTTTCGGAATGCAGGTGGCTGACTGTCAGGAATGTCAAGTTCAAGGGTGAAAAGTGGGATCCCCGTGTGTGTCCTTACAGAGAGGTTATACCAAGGAAGGAGTGATGTTCGCTACGGTCTCTTCCTAGGAAGACTTCTCAGGACTTTAAAATACAGAGGGTACTAAAAAAATGTATACACATTTTAAGAAAGGAAAAAATCTCATTAAAATTGTAATGCTCATTATATACTGATAACAAAAGACGAACATAAGTCCCCTTTGACTTCTGCAATGACAAGAGGTGCTCAAAATGGTTCCCATCAGCATCCAGGCACTTCTGATTACAGGGAACTAAATTAATACATAGGCAACATCGCTTAAAATGTGTATACATTTTTGGGGGCATCCCTGGTATATAGAATACTCTCAGTCACGTAGGAAAGAAGAGACCTGCTGTCACAGGGTGTGGCGTCTCCAATAAGCACCTTTTGAAATTGAGAGTAAGAGATCTGGTTTCGCTGTCTGTTTCTGTAAGCCAAGTCACTTTGTCATTTGATGCTGGGAGGGACCCAAGAGCTCTGGGGTCTCAGATCTTGATGACTTGGAGAAGTGTGAGCCACCACACTCACACCTGTTATCCCAGCACTTTCTTTTTGGGGGTTCTTTTTTTGAGTTGGAGTCTCACTCTGTCACTCAGACTGGAGTGCAGTGGCCGCTCCCAGCCTCCACAGCCTCAACCTGCTGGGCTCCGGCGATCCTTCCGCCTCAGCCTTCCAAGTAGCTGGAACTATAGGCGCGCGCTACCATGCCCGGCTAATTTTTTGATTTATTGTAGACTGC